CTTGAATGGTCTTTTTCAGAGCAAATCACACAATGAGTATGTATACAAATAACATGTTCATTGATGCTTTCAAATCCAAACAATGTCATTTTAGATTCAATTAAAACTATCTGAATATGAGGAAATAGAAGAATTAAAAATAATTACCTAAAATTTGAATTGGTATGTTTGAATATGACAGAGGAACAGAAGGGGTTACTAAGGAATCGCAAGACTGACTTGCAGCCATTCAGATTTAAATATTTAGATATAAGACATACGAACAACTATGTAAATGAAATTCTGATCCATTATATACAAATCTTAAGAGTGATATCAAATTACAAAAGCAGTTGAATCTTTCCTGGCTTAGTAGAAAATCTATCATCAAGAAGATGCCTTTCTGTAATTTTTTTTTTAATTTCAGTTTGTCATTCAAAATCACTCCTACACTATTTAAAAAGTGGCAGAAAGTTATGGAAATGTTTAGTGTTGGGGGTAAAATACAATGTGCATATGCAAAAAGGCACTTTATAGATAAGCCTTTCTCAGTCAGGGTTTTCTAGAACCCTAGGGTTCTGTGAAATCTTGCTGGGCGTTCCAGAAAGATTGTGAGATGAATTAAACATCTCACATCCGCACATGTTTATGTTTATAAAACAAACATAAGCATGAGTTTGTTTAGGAGCCCTTCTGCCTGCCTAGAATATAGAAAAGTGCCCAGGGGGAGTCCCCACCCACAAGGGAAAGAGCCAGAGTAGGAAGCGCATCCTCCTCAGGTTAGTGGGAAGCTAGTGATAATTCCGTGTATTTGGAATTAAACAACCAGCAATGGCCTTTATTTCACATCCTCTTTTCATTGCATACACCCCGTACTATTAACAGATAGGCACTGGCCACTGAGGTGAAGGAAGAGAAATGCCCCCAGTCATTAAACGGCAGGAAGAGGAAGTGGTAGGTCACCAGTGAAGCCTCAACGGACAGAGACAGTCTATCTCTGGGGTGCAGTTATGGGACAAAAAAGAGGATGACGTTGCTGCATTCACACCTGCCTGGTGTTCCCTTTCCACAGGCAGATCAGGCTTGGCTAAAGGGTCCTTTTTTAGCACCTCTTTTAAAAATTATTTTTAATGGATACAGGGAAAAATGGGGAAAGGGGAAAGGAAAGGAAAAAGTTTCCAAGGGACCTTGTAAAAAAAATTACATATAATTCTAGATACAGGAAATATCACAAAAATGGGTAATAGTAATTAAATCTACCAAATTTGTAACTACAATGTTAGTATAACACATACAATAAGGCTTAGTTAAGTCTTAATTAGCTTATTAATTAAGTCTAATAATTCTTACATAAAATTGCTTTAGCATGGGTACCAAGTAAATAATAATTCAACTTATATTCACAAACCCAGCAACAATTAATAATTGATTTTTCTTTTTTCCCAAATAAAACAATATCATAAAAAAGAAATTAAATTCAAGGTGCAATTATGCAAATTTAATAATGATATCTATAGGTTCTTTTTTTCCCCTCTGAATCGCTGAATAAAGTAAGTAAAATTCTTTAACCAGTTTTCTCTTTATATAGCTAGTTAGCAAATGTTTCGGCTAAGTCCTCCTTATGGAAGTTCTATTTTTTTTCTCTCAATTATTAACTAAAATATGTATAATAAGCTTTCAATTTATCATTAAATTCTTTGGTTGGCCTTCTATTTATATAACTGGTTAATTTTGCCATTATTGCATATTCAGCTAGCTTATTTTTCCAGACTTCACTAGTTGGGGAGTTTTCTGCTTTCCAATGGTAACTTTAGCTGCTGTTATCATATATTTAAATAATTCTTCCAATTTTCTTGGAAGACTTTCTAGCAGAATACTCAATATTTATTATCATTATTATTTATTATTATTATTTATTATTTATTAGGGGAACTTCTATGCCACCCCATTCGCCGAAGCCTCGGGGCAGCTTTCCTATGAATGCTAAGAACAATAGCATGTTCTTAGCATTCATAGGAAAGTTAATTTCAAAATTTCTGTATTTCAGCTTGTATTCCTTTCCATCTCATCCACTTCCTTGCATTTCCAGCACTTTCCATTATAATTATGGTCCATTTTTTCAATATATTTGGGATAATCTACTGACAAAAACACATTTTGTACCAATTTTCTCCTAGTGCTTGGCAAGCTGTAAGGTTTCCCACTGGTGGAAGGTATTTCTTTTTTCAAAATTTTGCCTCCATCTTATCACACATGTTTTAAGTTGTTCAGCTTGCTTGCTGGAGATCGGTAGGGAAAGTGGGGGGCGTCCTATACATGGGGACATCTTACAGACAGAAAAATACGGTAATTCCTCCTTATTGGTTAAATATTTCTCCATACACTATAAAATGACAGCTTTTCCTTAAATGCTTGTCATAATATGCTTCTATTAGGGACATCAAAAGAGAGATTGGAGGGCTAATTCTTATTACAACACCAAATTCTTATTAAACCATCTCTGATTACATGGCTTTTATTGTGTTGAATTTTTTTACTGATTCCTTAGCCCACAAATAATTATATAATTCTTCTAAATCTGCTGTTTCCAATTTTATTAATTGTTCATCAGGATTTTTAATCCAGTCTGTAATCCAAACCAGGCCAGCTGCATAGTAATATACTTGGGTCCTTTTCCCTCTTAATCTGCAAAGCCCTTCTTATAAGAAGGGTGGCAGGTAGCTGTCACATTAATAAAATACTGACATCAACAACAATATAAATAAAATAAAATTTCTGAGTGCATGCACATAGATTGAACTGATGGGTTCAAAATTATTATAGTCATCAGAATAACTTTATAATAATTTAGAGTAACTTTTATGGAGGAGTTCCTAGAGACATGAAAATTATTTGAAGGACTCCTCCAGGGTAAAAATGTTGAAAAAGGCTGGTATAGACAAACAAAAAGTAGAGGCTTTGGTTTTGCTTATTTAAAACTGTATTATGATTCCTTTCAACTTAAACTAATTATGCCACAATACAAACTGACAATACTGTGTATGAGCAGTCAAAAAACTTTAATAACCATAATATTAGCATTCTTCTTTATTCATATTTAAAGAAGATAGCAACAGAAGCAACAAAAATCCCTTTTTAGAAAATACAATGAGTAGGGGGGACTCCTGGAACAAAATAATTCCCTATTTTGTATTCCTGCTTATCTTTTTCTGGACCCCCCAGAGTTCAGTGATCTGAATAAATACAAGCAATACAAAAACTGGAAGGAAAAAGGAAGACACAGTCTATAAAGCTTTGTTCCAAAATTAACACAAAGAAATAAGGCAATCCAATCCATCCCCATCTTTGAAAATGATTGGGTTAACTCATGAGGCAAGTCTAACGTTTTAGCCTCTTGTATCTATAGCTGGTAAATAACTTATAGCAGAACAACAGAAAGACAGAAAATAGTTAAAGAGAATGATACTGGGAAACAGATTACAGATATACAGTGGAATACAATCTGACAAAAAAAAATCCCAGTTAGGTCTATTTCAGCAGCAATTAGAGAAACACAATTAAAGTCATACATAACTGGTGTCTGATACCTGTGAAATAAAATCATATTAACACAAATCTTTTGCCAAATTGCTGGAGAGGTAGCAATGTCAAAGGTTATCTATTCTGTATGTAGTGGGCTTGTGAATATGTACAAATATTTTAGAAAACTGTTTATATTATATTTCTCAAGTAATAAAGTTCATGGCATCATATCATTAGCTCTTTTTATTTTTGATGAGATGCAAAAGCAGCTGATATAAAAAGACCTTACTACTATCATTACAAAGTGATAGGAGAAAGAATAGTTATAGCACAATACTAGCAAATGAAAATAAGATATACTGTGAAAATTTGTGAGGTGGTTCTTGCTGAAAAACTAGCACAACTTAACATATTGATCAGAAGGATAATTAAGCAAAAAAAAAAAAAATTAAAAATGGTGTAAGAATGCATGTTTTACAGACCACCAAATGTGCATTCTGTTTTTGGAAAGATATGATAATTAGCAAGGGGAAGATTGAAAAGCAATTATTTTTGTAAATATAACAGAGCTTAAAATGTATACTGCACAGGTGTGCTCAAGGACAACACCCCTAAATTATGTATAAAACCTGAGATGAATGAGGTAGGACAAGCTACATGTGTTGGTTGTTGTAGTACTTTTGTTACCCTGCATTTTTCAAATAAAATGTTTCTTGAAAAAAAAGAAGAAGAAGAAGAAAGAAATTAGTATCACTCCCAGCCTGAGCAGGGTGTTTCAGGAAGGGCCTGCCTTGCTGAAACCCGTCAAAAAAAACAGCCAATAACAGCTCTTTAGTACAAATTCCATTCCTTTCCCTTAAAGTAGGAACCACCTGACAAATATTGACCAACAGGTCTTGCCTAAACTGCTTCCGTAAGATTTTGGTAGCTAAGTCGTTTCTGTCTGTGGGACCGCACAGAGGCCACAATAAATGTTAAATCAAAGCAATATAGGAAGAGCTGCATTTGATCTCTAAAACTTAAAGTATGCTGTCTCACCTGTAATAGCAAAATGGCATACATTGAGACTGGATCCAAGCTTAAATGAAATGAATGGGTCCACTCTAAACATGATGACTAAATCTGGATCCATATTTACAAGCAATGTGGGTCCACAAATGACATTTTAGAAAACACATACCTATATCCTTTGGGCTAAAGCCGGTTGTCATGTCATTTTAAGTTTAAAGTTGTCAGGTCATCTGTTATTACATTTGCTGTTGATCCCAGATAAAATAATAATATGTATGTCCACAACAGTATAAACTTCAATTTAAAACTTAACTGCTTTTATTAAAATCTATTCTAAGTTTTGAAAACTGGAACCCGTTTTAAACAATTTGGAAGGCCATTTGAATAGTGCTGCTGAATTCAACGAGATGAGACTTACAAGTTTACATTTTGTATTAGGCTACTAATCTAATAAAATTTCAGAAAGTCCATAGACTCAGTTCACTTACACCAGTCTGTAGATCATAAAGTGTCTGAGTGACTACAATATTAAAAACAGCATGGGAGCGGCTGCTTTCTTCATTCATGTTGGTTGCTGCAACAGTTCGGGACTTGTTTCCCTCTGACATCAATGATTCAATATCCTGAAGCATACAAAGAACAATGGATGTTAAAATGAACTCATCCTTTCCATCTGCAAGTTTCCCAGTATATTACATATTATGGTGTACCACTATATTAACGTAGCACATCAGACAATGTGAAGTATGATTTTATGGTATAAATAAACATAAATATAACCTAAAGCATCATGTTACACATGTTCTAACTGATATGGCTGGTGATCCTGTTGAATCCTGATCAACCTCTGGAACTCAGAGATGACCCAGTTGACCTAAGCAACTGATCACTCCTGAGCATCCTTTCTGTAGTAGAGCTCCACGGTATACTCTGGAGTTGAGAGTGATGAAACAAAACAGGAGACAGCTTCAGTGCAGATGGAGAGCGACTCCTAGTGAATACAATCACTAGGCCCTGGTATGGCCTTATTAACAGTTTAGCAAGATCTGTGTCCCACTGCAATATATTTGCAGGATACTTTGAGGACAAAATCTCTTGTATCCACTTAGATCTCAATGTGATTGTAGTTGAATCAGATGATATATCCAGAGCACAGTCTGGTCTAGCGTTCTTGGATGAGTTCCTGTTAGTATAGCTAAGAGATGCTGAGATGGTGTTTGGACAGGTTTGTACAACCATTCATTACTGGATCCTTGCCCTCTTGGCTAATAAAAGCTAGCAGAGAGGGAACATCTGGCTGGGTCAGGAAAGTGATTAATGCCTCTTTACAGAAGGGAGTGGTCCCATGCCACGCCTGAAAAAAAACCCTTTCTAGATGTAGAAGAACTTCATAATCTTAGGCTGATAGCAAATATTCCCTTCCTGGGTAAGGTTCTTGAGTGGCTGATGGCCAACCAGTTCCAAGCACTGTTGGATAGGACTGATTATCGAGATCTATTTCAGCAGGGTTTAGGCACAGAAAGAGCGCTCATTGCCCTGTATAATGACTTGTATCAGGAAAGAAATGGATGAGCGTAAGTCTTGCATCTCTTGGGAGGTATTTTATATCATTGACTATGATATACAGCTAGCCGAGCTGGAAGTAGCAGTTATGGCACTGCAGTAGTTCTGCTCTAACTTGGACAGCCAGCTCCAACAGGTGGTACTTGGGAGATGCTGCTCGGCCCTTTGGACTATTCAGCATGAAGTGCCTCAGGTGTTGGTCTTGTTCCTCCATGCTTTTTATCATATACATAAAACAACTGAGTGAGGTCTTCCAGAGTTTTGGAATGCTTTGCCATCAGTACACCAATGGCATGTAGTTCTATTTCTCCTTTCTGCAGATGTGTTAAACTGATGCCTGGCTGCAACAACAGACTACATGAGAGTCAACTGAAGCTCTATCCAGGCAAGACTGAGATGTTGTTAGTACAGGGGATGGGGGGATGAAGTGAATTCATCCTGTTCTGTATGAGTTTGCATTCCTCTTGAAGGAGTGGATTTACAGCTGGGGGTGCTCCTTGAGTCATATTTGTCACTTGGAGTCTAGGCGGCCTCAGTGACATGGATTTCTTTGCACCAGCTTCATCTGGTGGGCCAGGTACTCCTATTGGGATAACCTGGTATCGATACTCTATACTCTGGTAACCTCTAAACTAGATTACTGCAGTGCACTCCATCTCCATATGGGTTGCCCTTGAAGACTGTTCAGAAGCTATTACCTGTGCAAAAAGTGGCAGCCAGATTAATAACTGGGACCAGAAGGTCTGAACACAAAATACCAATTGTAGCCCACTTGGATTATATGTTTTCAAGGCCAAGTCAAAATACCTATAAACGCTACATGACTTGGGATCACAATACCTGATGGCATTCCTCTCCCAGTCACAGTCTCCCTGGATACTATGATCATGATCTGGGGCTTTCTTCTAATTGCCACCTCTGAGGGAGGCTTAGCTGGTGTCTTTTTTTTTCACTCAGAGTGCAAGAACACAAGTGTTCATTCTCACACTCAACTGTTTATCTGGCATGGCACAGAATGATGTGCTATAGCCTCAGTATATGCTCCCCACCATCCCAGGAATACCATTAAATTTGTGCTTTACCTACCTCAAAGCTAGTGACAGCAAGTTGAGACAAGCCATCTACATATGGACCCAAAACTTTGTGCTCACGAACTTTGAGAGACTGTCGACTCCTTGCAAACAAAAAGTATTATCAGTATCCATTCACCGACCTGTAGACTTCTACTCCACATAGACTTCTACTCCATATAGACCATATAGAATAGACTTCTACTCAAGTAAACTTTCATTTACTAGAAATTCAAGGATTGGTTGTACAGAGAATTATTTTAATTAAAGCATAACTATCTGAATTACAGTGCTTTATTCCTCTACTTTTTCACAACCACAATATGAAAAGTCCTTAGAGAATGTGGAGAAACCAATACCAAGATACGGTTAGAAGATAACAAATGTAACAGTGGCAAATCATGAGTTAAAATTCTAAGATTTGCTGGGTCACAAGTGTAGCACTACAATTTTGAATATGTAACCTCCAATCAGCCTCATCACTGACAAGTGAACCTGGATATGAGGTGTTATTTGTGGGTTAAATCAGTAGTTTTCAACCACTGGTCTGTGGGAGGTTTCCTGCCGGCTACTCACCGTGGACCAGTGAAAGGGCTGGCTGTGCTCCACCAACTCTTCCTTGGTTGGTATCACATTCACAGGTGGTGCACTGGTGCCACCAGGAAAGCTGGGAGGGAAGATGGCTTGGTGGGAGCCACACTGCACCAATTTTTGTATTTTGCTCTTTTGTTGGCATTTTTTGTTGCTCAGTTTCTGGTTGTTCTGGAAAATTTTCATTTTTTGGAATTGTTTTTGGAAACGAATAGAATAGTGTTATGTGTATGGTACTTTTTGTTTTTGTCTTGGTGGTCCTCAAGGTGGCTTTCCTGTTTTTGCCAGTCCCCAGCTATGGAAAGGTTGAAAACCACTGGGTTTTCTTTTAGTTATTAGGTTAATCTACAATTAACCCAATAACTAATTGTACAAGCATTCTTCAAAAAGTTTCTGCACTTTTAAAAACTCTATTAAGAATTTCAAAAACAAATTACATCACTTTTCTACATAGTCACCTTCCTTTGCAATACATTTTTCCCAGTATCATACCAACTTTTTAACTCCATTAGCAAAAAATACATAAATATATATATTTATAAAACATAAAAGTACAGAAACTTTCTGAAGACCCCTCATATATTAGGTTTAGGTTAACTCATGAATAACACACACAGTATCCAGGTTCACATGTCAGGGAGCAACCTACAATCAGGCTGATTGAAGAATTCATATTCAAAACACAAAATCTAACAAATTGTGGATTAACTAACCCATAATTTGCTCTAATGTACAAATCATGTCAATGAAATTAACAGACTTTCCCCCAAAATTCTGGTTCTCTCTTTCAACCCCTACTATTTATAGTTATCAAGTTACCATTAACACAACTAGCATGCAAATAAGAGAGAAGTTGGTTCAAATGTTCTCCAGAATTCATCATCTGCACACATCTCACAAGGCAAATTCCAAAAGCCAGGTGCCTTTATAAACATTAATCACTGTAAGTGGTTGATATTTTCTCTTCAGTATTCAGTACAATCAGATCTATACTACATGTAAAAATGGCAGATCTGTTACTTTAAATACAGTTCTGCCCAACTGATGAGTAAAGTGGTAGGTGGGACAGTGTTTTAAGGATCAAACAAGCAAGTCCACAAAGAGTACAGAACCTTCCATATACACTACTTCTAAACTCAGTTCCTCCAGAAATTTGTTTCTGATACCAGAAATAAACCTGGGTGGGTAGGAGGGCAGAGGCTGGGTGCAGTGGCTATGATGGATGATGGTAGGAAAAAGTTCAGTCCCTGCTCAGGAAAGATCTGGTTTAAAGAAGCAAGACTATAGCCCTTGTGCATAATTTGGGCCCTAATGCACATATATGTTCTCATTTCTAATATGCCACAATAAGTTACTCACCCTTTAGGGTCCAGCAAATCTCTGACCTTCTCGTTATAGATTTCCATATAGGACACTTCCACTTTAAAAGTATGCAAATCATTTTCTTCTACAGTGATTCTTTGAAATAAAGCACAGCAGAGGCGTGGGATGAGACCCAGCTGCTCTGCATTGCCCATCATTGAGAAGGATTTTCCTGAGCCTAAAAGAGAATAAATAGATAAAACATGTATTTTAAAAACCATCCTGATGATTTTGAAGGAACTCCTATACCAACCACCATATCATAGGTATGCTACAATCTGTATGTATACATTAACTGTATGATCGAGTAACACAAGTCAGTTTAGTGTTTCAAGTGGAATGCAAGAGAAGAAACAGGTAAGTCAGTGCAGACAATTTTCAGATTTCCTGCATTCTTATTGTTTGTTTTGTTTTTACAATAAACAGGTAAAAATTAAAAGTGCAGTATAAGTTGCCTTCTCATCCCTATCTAGAAAATAACTACTCCAGGAGGAAAGGAATATCTAAAGTTATTCAGTTTTAAGTAAAAAATTGTGTAGTAGTAATAGGTAAGTTTATTGTTGTCGTAGGTCATAACAGGCCAGAACATAAAAAAATCATAAGATACCATGAAATGATAATAAAACAATGAAGTAGTAATATTATAAAATAAAGTAATAAGATATTATATATGAGAAGTTACAACTAAATAGCTACAACTAAGAGTTTAAGAATTTCTAAGTTTAAATGACAGCAGAGCAACAGTGGCAACTTGGTTGCTAACAGTTGGAAACACATATATGAGAAGATAAATCAATTTTTCAAGGTCAGAGCACTTAAGTAATTCTCCCTTTACAAATGAGATCAATTTGGCCCTAATCTCATTGTAAATGGGTCAGGGGAGGACATACTGGATTACGTCCTTCACTTGACCAACACCACAAGGACAGAGGCATTGTACAACAGGGAGCTTACAAAAGCTCCCTTCAAGTTATGCAGAGGCCATTGTCGGCAGACGAAGGGAAGTTAGAGCCTTTCTCAATGCGGCATTGGTTATATTAACCAGATACTGTGAAAGACTTCTATGCTTTTTATACTGGTGATACCAAAATGAAAATTTGGATGATTGAATTACAGTGGCATCTTTACTAGCATCCTTTTCAAAAAACCAATCTCTAATACATGGGTCTTCAAACAACACTCCACAGGCTGAATTCAGCCCACCATGCCCATTTATCCGGCTAGCCTCAGAGGCTTCAGACTCGCTCGGAGAAAATGATATCCAAGCAAGCCACTGCCTCGCAGTGTGCGCACCCCCCACTGCAGCTGCCTTTCAATTGGCCCCCTGTTGAAAAGGTTTGAGGACCCCTGCGCTAATATTTTTTCTATCCCATGATCTAAGGTTTCTCAAGGATGGTAGGGAATGCATTTGTAAAATGGAATACTGAAGTATGGTCCATTGATTCCTGGCTGCATAATGGAAAAAACAGAGTTTGGCAAGATGGGATCCTTGAAAACTTTCTAGTTTCCTATAATGCTCCAGCACAGCAAGGTATAGTATAACAGTGTTGGAAGGTAGCCTACTTCCATACTTAAGTAGACAGTTGCAGTGCCCTAGGGGAGGCCTCAGATCTTCCTTATGAAGTTATTTTGGACTTCCAATTGGGCTATGACCTTCTCATCCCACCCCCAAATCTCAGCCCCATACAACATCTGGGCTATCACCTTGCCCTGGGACATTTTAAGAACATGCCCTCCTTCAGAACAAAAGAATGCCAAAATAGTACCTACTGTATGCTGGGCAGTTGTCAAAACAGTAGATAGGTGTGCTTTCCATGAAAGGAACTTATGAAAAGCAATACCCAAGTATGTAGAAGAGGGACACTGTTCTATTTGTTGGGCATTAATTGGTATTACTTTTGACAAAAACAACTATCTTTTTTTTACTATAATTAATTTTTAGTTTTTCCCTTTCACAGTAAGCAGCTAATCTGGTCAGTAATTTTCTAAATCCAATCTCAATATAAGAACTGATAGCCATATCATCAGCATACTTTAACACAGAGGTTTTCCATCCATTGAATGAAGGAGAGAAAAAACTTTGTAACTTCATGGCCACTACTATATCATTAATAAAAAAATTAAATAAAAAGGGAACAAGTAGACAGTCCTGCTTAACACCTTTCTTCAATGAGACTGGATCTCACAAGGATCCTTGCTGGCCTGTTCTTATTCTAGCTGTAGTATCAGTGTATAGTTCAATTATTAGTTTAAGATGAATATCAGTATCAGTCCTAGCTAATTTTTCCCATAATTGAGCCCTGTCAATAGAGTCAAAGGCAGAGGTAAGATCAATGAAAGCAACATAAAGTTTTGAAAGCCCATTGGTATATATTTGAATAAGGGCCTTCAGTGTAGTGCAGTGATCTACCCTGCCTGTTCAGGATGAAAAGGTTTTGTTTCCTCCTCCCAATCTTCTAATTTATTCAGAAGATGTCTTGCATAAAGTTTAGAAGAAATATCTAATAAACTAATTGAGTGATAACTGGCAGGTTCCTGCTGGTTGCCATTTTAAAAATTTGGATAAATTATACTTTGTTTCCAGTGGCAAGGTACAACACATGTTTTATCTATTCCCGAGAGGAATCTAATCTAGTTAGGGACCCACCAGGAATTATTTATCCTATATACCATCTCTGGGGGAATCATATCCTCTCCAGAAGCTTTTCCAAGTTGAGATTACCTCCTTACACTCAGATTTTGAGACAGCTGGCCACTCTGGTAATATGTTTAGTTTGATAGGAATTATTGTTGGTTCAGTGTATGGGTAACTGTAAATGGAGGAGAAATATTGGGTTCAGCATCATGCTGAAATGCATGCATGAGGCATGGTATGGTGTGGGGAAATACCATTAGCCAAATTCCCAAAATTTCCTCTCATTTTTTTGAGTTAGGCTCCATTGATCCTTACAGTAAGATAACTTCTTAATCTTTAATGGTTACTTATATTGGGATAGAAATTGGATCAATAATTGAATCAGGGAATCTGTCCTTTCCTCTCTTCTCTGTAGCTTTCTTAGGTCTTGTTTTTTATTCCTGCAGTCTTAGTCGTACCATCCCTTTCTTGTATTGTTCCTTCTAGGGAGACAGGCGGGTAGTAAGCTGGGAGCTTAGTACACCATTAATTGAACTAAAAACATGATATACATTGGTATTTGGTAGTAATGCAAGATGCCTTTGATCTATCATTTGTGGAGTGTTTTAAAAAGTAGTGATTTTCTCACTGAGGATAGGGCACCATCTGAGATAATATTTGACCTGTGTGATGCTATCAAAGTTAAAATACCACACTGGGGGGTGGGGGGGACGGGTTATAAACCAAAACAGTCAAAACCAAAGGTAGATGATCATTCTCTGTTCTATTGTGGACATCAAAGGAGCTAACCTGAGAAAGAAATGCATAGGAGATTAAGAAATAGTCAATGATACTGGCTCCAGATGAACTTAGAAACGTCTAATGTCCATTAGAACTATCAATATTGGAGCCATAGAGACTATACAGCCTGTACTTAAAAGCCAGATTCAGTAGGGACACCCCTTATTTAATAATTTCTCCATGAAGAACCAGGGCAGGTATCATTCATCCTCAGGACTAAACTGTGTCTTCCGAACATAGCAGCTAATATCTTTGCCAATTCAGGCATTGAAATCACCAGCCAGTAGAATATTTGCATTTTGTAATGTTTGTTCAGTCCTCTCCAAAAGGATTTGCAGGGAGAACCAGACAGTGAACCACAGATTTGGATTCCATCCTGTTGGAAGATAGACATTGATGCAAAGCATTAGTTCAAGATATTTACTATCTATCTGGACTACCTGGACAGGAGAAGAAATGTCCAGGCACCATGTCTCCTGTAATAAAATGTTAAATTCTGCCATTTATTGTTCAAAACAGGTATCCACCAATTTGTTGTGCCACCTGGCAATATTCCAATAAATGATTTTTTAAATAACTCAGGACCTTAGAGGCAAGCCACTTGGTGGCATTTGGAGCATTATATGCTTGTCTAGGTGTACGACAACATACTGATGTTGTGGTGATTTTCTCATCAGTATGGGAATCATTAGCAGGCAGTTACCTTGGGCTGTCAGTATGCTTGCTGTCTCTGAGCATGGCTGGATTTGCATACTGGAGATCTTGGTTAAAATATGCTCTTGATACAGTAAATTCCTTTTGTCTGCTTTTCTGGACTAGGCCCTTGCATAATACAGGCTGAAACAAATTGTCATTATCTGGAACAGATCAGGATGGAGTCAATATGGCCTGTTTTAGGATGGAAGAATATGATGGCTTGCTAGGATATAGGTTATTTTCTTGCCAAGTTGATTGATTACAGGGTTCAGGGGATTTATAATGATTTTCTGTGGCATTGCTGTCAGATTGGTGATCCAAAGATATTAAGTCAATTAAAGGCTTGGCTGCTGCTCAAGTCACCAGCAGTATTTGTTTCAATTCATCCAGTTGTCTCAGTATTTCTTCTTGTCTGCAGTTTGGTAAACCTTCAAAACAGTTAATTAGTCCTGTTTATAGAGCTTCATCAGTGCCAAATCATTCTCACATAATTCCAGTATAATTGTTTGGGCAGTGTCTTCTCAAGGACACTGAAGGTGCTAAGTTGCTGAGGTTCTTATCATTTGGCACACTGCCCATAGCATAGGGCAGAGGAGTATCTGCTTGAGAAGTTGTACCAAGTAGAGCAAATCTTTTTTCATCTCGGAAGATACACAGTGGGTATATTTGAAAAGTGGAGAGAAAATATTTCATTTTAAACAGCATAGAGGGGGATGGTAGAATGGTTGAAAGACAATCAAATTTGTTTGAGTCCTCTCATACTAGGAAGCCATTCAGCAGTACTTAGATCAAGCAGATGACTTTGGCATCAGAGAAGTGAACTAAGTGATAGAACAACAGCTCTTCTGGTAGACCAAAGTTTGATTAAATCTGTTTAATGTAATCCTTAGAACAACTTGATGTGTTTGAAGTGTGCGGTTGAACTTATTTAGATTTGTCTCTTGGGTGGAAGGTACAGCTACAAGCTCTGCCTCTATTTGGTTGTCTTTTCTAATCTTAATTTGTTCTGAGCAATTTTGCTTCCGTGATTGTCCATAAACAAGTCAGAATTGGTGCCAAAGTTTTGAGCCTGTTGTAAGAGCTGCTAGCTTATCTGTATAAGCTTTGCACAAAAGTTTCAAAAGTTGTTTTTAAGGAGTCCACCTTTGTGTTCATAAACGTTAAGTATTTGAAAATTGAAATTACAGTTTGTTCAGTTAATAGGCATTGTTTAGCAGCAAAACCTGTTAATTTTTTGGTGACTGACTTGTTTGCTCTTCCCTCATCAAAGGGAGGGTAGTAAGGCAAAGGGTCAATCAGATGGTTTGATTCAAGGTAGAGGATAGCTCTAATAATTGTTTTTCAATTTCTGTTTTCAAATCCCAGTTCGGAATATCTTAACGGTTAGAACTGGTGATGGGGTAAAAAGAATGTTTTAATTATTACTCACAGTTTTCTTGTCCATCATGCAGTAGTCAATTTTTGGCCATTTTGTTATGCAACTGAAACTTGCATAATATTTCAGGAATATTGCATAATATTTCAGAAATATTGCATAATATTTCATGCAATGGACTTGATGTTCCATTGCATGTTATCACTTGCAGAAAACTTATTTATAAAAGAAAGCTAGATAAAAATTAGAATATGAGTCTAAGCAGTTTGTAAAAATAAACAAAGCAAAAAAAAAAAAAATCAGAAGGAGCTCAGCAGAGAAGCTGCTGCTCCACTGCCATTTTAGCTCCATCTAAAAATTGGGGAATACTGTAGCTACTCCATTTGCGAGAAATATTGGCATAACTCAACGACAGGGAAGCATAAAAATGGGTAGTCCTTTGCCTTGCCATCTTTATGCATTGTCATCAAATACACTTCTTGAATTATACCTTTAAAATGCACACGGACATTTATGAAATATAGATATAAAATGAACAGGTGACTCTGTCCTAAGCATTATTTTGTTATTTATTAAAAATGTTTAAATAAATAAATAAATAAATAAGCAAACAAAGAACAAGAAATCAGTGCACTTCACTTCTGAATTGAATTCAGCTTATGAGATGTATCCATCATCACATGCAGGTGTCCACTTATGCAAAACAGAATGCCCTTCCTTTTCTCCTCTTTGCATAACTCAAATCTACTCCAAAATAACCTCCAACCTTTGGATACATTCTCATGCATATAAAAATAAAGGAAAAATGGTTTCAGGAAGCATCTGTGAAATCAAAGATTCCACTTCTGCTAGAATGTGATAGGACAGTTGTCTAACAGACCTGTACTGAGCATACAGTTAAATGTTACTGATACTAAGATTTCTCAATTTAAGAAAAGTGTAACATTGTCTATATCTTGATTATTTGTCTCATTAAAGCCAGCTACATTTAAATCTAACCTACAGCAAGACCCAACAGCATATTTGTTATATATAGTATAATGCTATTAAGTTCAAGAAAACATATGTAGGATTGTCAACCTAAGCACTTACAGGTTTTGACATTGTGACTTTCTACCATGGATATTTGCAGACATTCATTTCTGTTAATGAACTCACCAACTACAGCACATGCTAATTATAGTAATACAAAGTAATGTGGATTTTTATAACTGAACATTATGCAATATTCACAGATCACTCCAAATTTGGCTCATGTTGCTGTTCATGTTGTCTACAATCTAGAGTCAGTTTGGAAAGAGATTGTTTTGCTTCTGTTTGATGTTGAAAAATGGTTCTAGACTAGCAACTACTGTGGGGAACAAGTTATTCATGTTTTGATATGCCCTCATGCATAAGATGACAATACATTAATTGCTTTTGAGTATTTGAAGCACTTCATATATATCACTGTGTATGAGGAAATATCCCTGTAAAATAGGTCAGTATTTTAAAATACAGACAGGAGGATGAGGCTGATAAAATAAAGTTTGCCTTAAGTGATTTACTGAGTCCATGGCAGAGCTGAAATTTGACCAAGGGATTTTCTATTTCATAATAATGTAGCACTTTACTTGTGTTTTATTTTAATATACAACTGGATAACTAAGCTGAGTTTTTGTTCCTGGTAATAGCTAAGAATATACATAAAATCAATTCATGTTCTAGAAACATAAGATATGCCCCTTTCAAGATGGCTTTCACTGACAGATCCTTATCTTGCAACCTTATTCTTGATGGATAGCATAAATCAAACTTTTAGCAACAACTCAAAATATGAATACATGGTGCCATCAGAAATTAACACAAGGTGGTAATTTCAAAGCCTATTCAGTACCTGGCAATTCACCTAGCTCCAATGGGCTTATTACCCAAGAGCAGCTGCAATAGGCTTGTAAATTTTAATCACACTGACTATAATATGATAATGACCATAATCTCTCCACTTACCTAGTGAAACAAGATTTTCTTCATTATTCCCATTATTCCTGCTTTGGGTCACACTCCTTCAGGAAATACTACTCTTCAAGGTAGTTTAAAACATACACATAGCCATAATTTATTCAACAGAAAACAATAAAACCAATGGTGCCTACATTTTTATTGTTTTTATAATTTGAATGGCTTTAGTTATAACAGTCCTGCATTACAACATATCCGTGATGAGAAGGGCACAACAGAACTTACGGAGTGGACAACAACTTAGGGAACTGCTATACAGTAAAAGTGTTATGGCTGAAAACTGAGATCTAGAAAGCTAATTGGGCAGGGAGAATTTACAGCTCACTCCCCCCCACCCCGCCCCCGATAGGTAGTCCCTGGGTTAAGAACTAGTTCAGTTCCTGAGAACATCCTTAAGTTGAATTAAGTCAGATCACATGAGTAAGCCAAATGTTTGTCTTAGAAAGGTAAAATGTATACATATACTATATATAAAACACTTAAAACACTTTCATATTCACTGAAACACAACAGCATTGTATTAATTATAATCATACAGTAATAAAGTAACTACAGGTGTGAGAGGGAGAATCTATATGTATTTGGGTAGGTATACAGTAGTGTTAAAAAAAAAGAAAAGAAACTGTTCTTAAAACAGTTTAGAACATTTGAGGTAACATTAAGCTTAACATTAGCTGATGCTGATGCTGGAGAAAGACCTGGTGCTTAACAGTCAGGGTTCGATTGTGCTGCTGGAGTGGGGAAGGGGGGTTATCACTGGAGCTGCTTTCTCTAGTGGAAGGCATCATCCAGTGAATTGCATAGCCATTCTCTTTTTCTCATCATAAATGGCAACTGAAGGCCTTGGTAACTGCACAGTAAACCTTTATGAACCTTCTCCATGTTAGAATCTTTTCCACTCTAGTTTCCATCATGACTGGTTACAAGGGGTAAATGCTTCAGAAAAACCAAAAGGAAACTACACACCATACACATGCCCCTAAACACACTGGCTTGGGTACTCAAGCCAACACTATGGAATGAAATTAGCAAAAGGGAAAAAAACAGCAACAGTAACAGAAGTTGCCTGGATGGAAGGAATGTAAAACAGCTATTGAGAAATACAGCCCTAAACTGAAGGAGAAGTTTATGATAGAGAAAGAAAACATTGGTGAATGTCTCTCCCTTTCCAAGTAAGGAATAGGGCAAGCCCCCAGGACAATGAAAAATTTCCACTTGTAATTTAGAAAGACAATTCTCTCACCTGTTTGTCCATAGGCAAAAATGCAAGCATTATATCCCTGAAAGGCCTTCTCAAGAATTCCTTCACCAAGGCACTTGAATACAACTTGTTGACCTAAAAAAATTAATGCATAATTGAAATACAAAAGCTTTGACTGTTGACAGATCTTAGTGTCACCCAAACCAAAGGAAATCTTCATGTTTAAAAATGAAAAGAGCAACAACAGTTAAGAATCAGGTTGACATTTAAATCCATGCCTGATTTCTGTGCGTCAATATGTAAAAAGTATTAGATAAAACCCATTTTATAATGGAATACAGTACAGTAAAATTGATTTTCCCCAAGGTTTGACAATAACAAACTGTAAGAAAAGGACTTCTGTCCTTCTTCTAAAAGACGACTAAAGGAAAAAGCTGCATATACCTGAAAAACACTTAGGAATATAGTCAAGAATTGCACATTAGACAAAGTTCAATATACCAGAATTTACTTATCAATTTTACATTTCAATAAATTTTACATACAGGTTCTACAGAAAAAGTCCTTAAGTCCCTAAGGAATGCTGTAAGCAGTAGGATTTTTCTCTGTCTAAATGTGCATGGGACTGCACCTTAGTTGTATGTTTAGTCTGACTCAAAATAATGCATTTTAATTAAGTATAAAACATTATTTCTTCTACAGTTACATAGTCATATGAAACAAGTTATGGCCACGAACCGAACTAAATCACCTTTTTGTCAGGCACTTGAAACAAGCACTTATTACAATTAAATATTAATGTTGTCCAATAAATTCGTCAAGTTTTAACCCATCATCTGCATCATAAGTACATATATTTGCTGCAATACAGTCTTCTCTTTCCTACTGCTAAGGAAATGCAGAAATGAGCATAATCTGGGTAGCATTAGCCTTGCCTCATTCTGATGTTTTACTTTGTCTAAAGTCACTGGGGATAATTTAATATGGAAAAATGTGGCTGAAAAATATAACTAGAAAATTAAAATGACTACAAAGAAAAGACAGATTGGAGTATCAGAGTGTACACTAAATAACTCCCCATGAGTTTGCCTGTAGCATGGTTAACTCTATTATGGCAGAAATATAATGTACTGATTAAACCGCTGGAATAGGGAGATATGGGTTCCAATTCCCACTTGTCCAAATTCACCCAGTGAATTTTATGGTAAAGTCACTGTGAAGTTGGTGTAGAGCAGCCTAACCTGCCTCACAGGGTTCTAAGGAAAAAAATAAAGAGAACAAGCAAGCTTATTATATGCCACTTCGGATTCCCTAGAGGAAAAGTATCATATGCATATAACAGAAGAAGTGTCTGCTTCAGCTGTCGTCACAGGGATCAGACAGCAGATCCTGGAGATGTCCCTCTCACTCTTGCCCTCCTTTCTTTCATCAGTCACCTGCCTCCTTGGTACTTTAAGCAAATTCTCCTTGGTGCCAGCTGTGCAGTATGGGGCCAGCCAGGCAGCAAATTCTCATAACAGAAGTGCAGCAGCCTACACGTCAGTAAAAATGTTCAGCCATCAATAACAAATGCCGCTGGCCTCAATTGCTTCGCTACTTCTGGCATATCTTCTCAGGTGCTGAACTAACAAGTTTGTTGGTGACAAGGAAAGGAGGCTCAATCACCTAGTGCATTGTTTTCTTTTCCCCTTCTGACCACTAAGCTCATCCTCCTGTGTTTCTGTGCAGAGATATGAATCTTTAGCATACAGTGTGACTCTGCTTCCCTTTCTATCCCCTCTGTTCTTCTTGAACAGGTTATATCCTTCAATTGTTGAATTTCAGTATGAGAGTCATCCCACCAAGTCATCACACCAAGTTTCATTTAAGCCTACCAGGTTGTAGTCACCCTCCTGTATTAAGAGTTCATGCTGTTTGTTTCCCATACACTGGGCATTCGTATATACAGTGAACATTGAAGACCATGTACTTTATACTCTAGTTTTCTTCCTACATTTTAAAAGACTATTATTGGGCACTGTTAGAGCTTCTCTCTCTATTATGATGCATAAGCCTTTGTCTGTTGTCACATTTATCTATCTGTCTATCGCTTTATATCCTGCCTTTTTCCTCAAAGGGCTCAAGGCAGCTTACATCATTCTCCTCCTCCATCTTATCCCCACAACAACAACCCTGTGAAGTAGGTTGGGCTGAGAGTCTGTGACTGGCCCAAAGTCACCCAGTTGGCTCCATGGCCGAGCGGGGACTAGAACCCAGATTGCCTGAGTCCAAGTCCCATGCTCTTAACCACTACACCACACTGGCTTTCACACTGGCTGAAGAGGGTGTACTTCTCCCTCCCCTGTAGGATTTAGTTTAAAGCCTTCCTGATAAAGTTATTCATGCTATGGCCAAAAACATTCTTTTCAGTCCTGATAGGGTGCAACCTATCCTTTGCCAGCAGTCCATCTTCTAGGAACTGTTGCTTGTGGTCCCAGAATCTGAAACTCTCACGTCAGCACTACCTTCGTGTCAGCAATTGACTTGAGAGCATTTTTCCTTCCCTGTCTATTGCTCTTTCAAGAACTGGAAGGACTGAAAACTATTTAGGCTCCAAAGCTCCTCCCTACAGCTTCAAAGTCTGAGGTAATGTCTTCAAAACTCTGCTTAGCGGTGTCATTTGTTTCCACAAGTATGAGCAGGGATACATGTCAGTCAGCTTCATGAGCTTTGGCAATCTTTCAGTTGTATCACTAACTTGTCCTCCAGGGAGACAGCATACTTAATGAGTCCACAGGTCTTCCTGACATACATGTGCTACCATCCCATGCAACAAGAAGCTTCCCATATCTAACACCCTACTCTTCTTGTTTTTGCATTGCCTTGGTATCATTGCCACTACTTGGCTGACCTTTAGCTTCTTGTTCAGTGTTGTATGAGATGTCATGCAGCTCTTCCACAGCAGGCTGCTTTCCAGTCTCATCCTCAAGTAACTGAAAGCAGTTCGATTGTTCCACTGTGTCCACTGGTGTAGAATGTCTTCTAGTTCTTCTGCACCTGTCACCACTTTCCATGGAGTTTCTCCCTCATTCTCCCTTTCCTCAGGATTCTCCTCTTCCGTCTCAGCTTGCTGTTCTACTTCTAGCTTTTGTATTCCACTAAAGGTTGTTGCAGTTCCACTGCTCTGCCTAAAACTCCTCTTTTATTACCTTGAGGGTGGGCACTTTCTGCTCTAGTACTCTCACCTTTTCTTCTACCAGCTTGTACTTGTATGCCACACTGACATCAGGCAAGAAAATAAACATAGCACAGGCACTGCAGGTCACCACCACTGGGGAGTCTTTTCCATTCTTTGTAACCTTTTTGATTCTACCTTTCTGAACCTGTTTGTGACAACCAGTGTTATCTCCTGTTTTCCCTGAAGGTTAACATCACAGTCCTACCAGTAAATGGAAATGTGTTAAAAGGTAGAAAACAAAGGGTTGGGAGGGAACTAAGGGGAAAAAAAGAAAAAAAGTTAGAGGTCTCCCCCACCAAACTCCTGTTTGGTCTCTCTGTTCACTCACTCTGATCACTTGTTCTTTGCAGGCTTGGCTTCTTGTATCCCAGAGTCCCTAGACCAGCTGGGGCAGCTTCAGCTAATCTAGGAGTCATGAACCAGAATGCATCTCTCCATCACACAGCTGCTGCTAGTAATCAGGTCACTCCCTTTCAGTTGCAGCTATCAGGAGCACATGGGCCCTAGGAAGAGGCTACTGCTTGGCTAATCCAGGCCCCATATCCCTTTGCCTCTACCTTTGTCTCCTCATCCATTACAGATCTACCACCAAGTTCCTGTTTGCTCTCCCTGTTCACTCACTCTGGTCATTCACTCTCTGGGAGTTGGCGGCTTGTATTCCAGAGTCCCTAGACCAGGGATTGGCAACCGCGGCTCTGGAGCCGCACATGGCTCTTGAACCCCTCTGCTGTGGCTCCGTTGCTCAAAACAAGCACCAGCACAGCCACTGATCTGCTCGAAGCTCCACTCAGGAACACAGGCTAGCTAGTTAAGTAAATCAGCTAGTTAAGTAAATAGCTACATTCCTCTGCTAAACAAGCTTCCTGCAGGCTCTCATGTTACACGAAATGAAAAGCTGCTGAAAAGATTCTTTGTCCCAATGTAATCTCCTTCATCTGAATGCTAAAAGCGGGGCTTGGGACCTGTCACAGTTCACAGCACTTGACTGTTTATCTGCCAATCAGTCACTAAGCACACCTATATCTCAGTCTGCTAATCAGTCACTAAGCTGATTAACTGAGCTCCCCCACCCCATAGGCCAACCATGGATAAATCGAAGAAAAGTAAAGTTTCTAAAGAAAACCAAACGTTTAATGGTACGTGGGTAGATTCATTTGCTTTTACTGCTGACGAACTTATGGGGTTTGCCGTTTAATGCATGCAGCCCGTTAGCACTGACTTCGACTCTTCAGGAAGCTGTTCTCCTATTCAAAATATATGAAAGGAGCCCTACTAGTTTATAATGTAAGATTAAAACTAACAGTTTTTAGTGACTGAACAAGAGCTGCAGATAAATCATAATGAAAATATACATAGCATAAAGGTAAAAAACGATATATGCAATGTTATCTTCAGTTTAGATGTCAAAAGGGTTTTGCGGCTCCCGGTGTTTTGTGTGGGAAATGGGTCCAAATGGCTCTTTGAGTGTTAAAGGTTGCCGACCCCTGCCCTAGACCAACTGGAGCAGCTTCTTCTGATCTGCTCAGCTAGGAGTCAGGGAACAAAATGACTCCAGGCAGTGTCTCTTCAGCTCTAGGCAGTCTTGAGTGATACTAACTTTCTGGACTTATTTCAAATTGGCTTCAGAGCAGGATACAGAGCTGAGACTGCCTTGGTTTCTCTAGTGCAATGGTTTTCAACCTTCTTTCAGCTGGACACCAGTGAAAATAGAAAAAAAATTGGGGACTGCCAAGGCAGAAATAAAAAGCAATATAGTATTTTGTGTACTAGTTTAGATAATTCTCTAAAATAACGAGAAACCAAGGAGTTAAAAATGCTAATAAAAGAATAAAATATTGAATTTAAATGTAATCAAATACAAGTTTTTAGAGAGCAATATTTAATTCAAATAAGGCTAATGTGAAATCTGCTGTTGCTTCTTTTCAAGAATGCTTGATAGTCATGGCTCAGTGTTGTTTCCGAGAGATGAAGTGCTGCACTGACATCCATTCTGTTTGTTTGGTTTTTATCAGTGAGAGGGCTGAAAAACTCTTTTCACACAGATATGTGGTAGAAAGTATGAGTAACAATTTAAGAGTTCTGTAACTTAAAGACGGATATTCTTTTTTCCAGTGATACCCAAAACTGTGACAATGATTGCATTTTATGTTTGGACACCAGAGTGACATCAGAGCTCTTTCCCAACTCCTGCTCAGATCAGCCCGGTTCTCCTGGTGACAGCAGCAACACTGAGTGAGTGGGAAGAGTGGGCTGAGTGCGAGTTGCTGCCCTTATGTGCATTTCAGAATGCCCGAGCCACCCCTCCGCAGTTTCTCCATGACAACTGGTGGCTCTCTGAATGGCCCTGCCCCTTTTGTGGAGTCACACAACTTCTTTGGTGATGACGACAGCACCTGAGCAAGCAGGAAGAGTGGATGCAGCTCTGAGAATGCTGCCACCGCTCCCACCCCCTCAGCGCACTGCACAAGTGGCCCCAGGGTGCCCGACTCTGGTTTTGCACTGCTTGACAAGGCAAGTGGTGTGGCCATCTTCCAGGCATTCTGGTGCGCCAATGCAGACTGCTATTAAAATGCTAGGCTGGTGTGTGCCATGCTGCAAAGTTGGCTGCAGGGTGGCATGCTCTTGCTGTAAGATCTGGCCACCCCTCTGCAGCTCCTCTGCATTTGCTTGGCTCTGCAGGAAGCTGCGCCTCCTTCCCCAAGGGCTTCCCCATCAGGGCTCTTTCGCGGACCAGCAGGAAATCTCCTGTAGACTGGCAGCAGTTTGCAGATCAGTGGTTGAAAAACACTGTTCTAGTGGATCTATGACTCAGAACTGACAGGGTGTGTGTGTCCTTTTTGGTTCTGCTGGTTCTCTCACTGGCCATCAATACTATTGATCATAGTAACCTTCTGGATTGTCTGAGGGAAATGCGAATTGCAGGTACTGACTTACAATGGTTCCATTCCTATCTCACATATGGTTGGTTCTATATGGTGATGCTTGGAGAATGTCACTCCTTTAGGTAAAGGTTTCCCCTTGACATTAAGTCCAGTCATGCCTGACTCTAGGGGGCGGTGCTCATCTCCGTTCCTAGCCGAGGGAGCCAGCGTTTGTCCGCAGTCTCCATGGTCATGTGGCTGGCATGACTAAACACCAAAGTGCACGGAACGCTGCTACCTGCCCACCGAAGTGGTACCTTTTTATCTACTTGCATTTGCATGCTTTCAAGCTGCAAGGCTGGCAGGGATGGAGCAATGGGAACTCACCCCGTTGCGCACATTTGAACCGGCGACCTTTCGATCTACCAGCCCAGCAGCACAGCGGTTTAAACCAACTTGTGGAGTCCCACAGGCTCCATTTTGTCTCCAATGCTGTTTAACATCTACTTGAAGCTGCTGGGCAAGATTATCTAGAGGAGTGGTGCTGGGTGTTATCAGTATGCTGGTAACACCCAGTGCCACTTCACTTTACTGCCATCCGCTGTTTCTTCTATGGACAGCATTTCTCTTCTGAATTGACTGCCTGAAGCTGGTAAAGGGGCAGATGATGACAAACTGAAGTTGAATTCAGACAAAGTGGAGATGCTTGCTGTTAAGGGTTCAAATGCAGGATTAAAGATGTGTCAACTGGTTTTAACTGGGGTCACATTCCCCCTGAAAGACCGTGTTCACAGTCTGGGGGTGCTGTTTGACCTGGCCCTTCAGAAGTCAGCACAGATAGAAGTCAAAAGTATCAACTTTAGCTGATTCATCAACTGTATGCCTTCCTGGAGAAGAATGACCTAAAAACAGTAGTGCATCTACTGGTAATCTCTAGACTCAATTTCTACAATGCATTCTACATAGGGTTTCTCTTGTGCCTAACTGCAACTAGTTCAAAACATGGTGACCAAGTTGGTCTCTGGGTCATCATGAAGAGACCATATATCATTGATATTAAAGTTTCCACACTGGCTGTCAATATATTTGCAGACAAAGTACAAAGTGCTGGTAATTACCCTTAAAGCCCTTCATGGCTTGGGTCCAAAATACCTTCAGGAGTGCCTTTGCACATATATTCTGTCTCACCCATTAAGGTCTTCTGAGGATAATCTTCTGAAACTGAAGATTAATGTCTACTACCCAGAGGACTTTTTTCAGTGGTTGCCACTAAACTATGGAATGTCTTACCATGAGAAATATGTCAGATATTCCAAACTGTTATCCTTAAGAGGGAGGTAAAGACATATCTTTTCCCACAGGGGTTCCCAGGTTTGTTTTATTTAATATGTTTGTTTTTAGTTGAAATTTTAACTACAGTTGGTTTTAATCTCTTGTAAATCATCCAGGGTCTATGGGAATGGAGTGGAATATAAACATCGAGATAAATAAATATCAGAATGGAAATGAGGATAGCATTTGGTTTTTTGCTTCAGGTATCTTAGGCTGACTCTGTTTATAGGTACTAAGATACTCACTTTATAGGGAGATGCAGAATTTTCTCCTAAGGGTGTAACAAAATCACAAAAAGTTGCATTTCAAAAATTCTGCACTGTATAAATGAAGCATGCAAGAAATAAGAGTTCATTTAAATATAAGTTGGGGAACAGAATTTTAATGAAAAGTAATGAAAAGTTATACCTGCATATTTTGTAGTGTTTGATTCATCCATAGACCAAAAACAGTAATCAAAGGCAAACACCTGCATAAGAAAGCAAAACAGTAAATTAAACATGTCTTTGAAAAATAAAACAATTATATCTGCAGGTCTGAAAAGGCTATTTAAATTAAAGTATTTTTGAACTCTCATATTTTTCTCTGATCATTTCACCTGTCTACCTACTCATCTAACCAATGTACTATCTAGGACGCTCCTTGTATGCCATTTTTATAACATGTGTCACTATAATTTAATCTATTTTAGCAATGTAGTAAAGCAAAACACACAATTATTCATTTCCTGGTATCAAAATTCTGATTAAGATATATATATAGTATATGCTAAATAACCAGTTTAAGTACTACTTGCTAGATTCTTCTCTCTAAGTTTATTTAGAGAAGCTACCACAAATGGCTGAAGACTCAATGTTTCTAGAGAATTCAGATGATCTCAAAAACACTCTGTACTTGCATCCTACTCCTTCCTTTCTAGACTGAGAATTTCTCAAAGCCAAACTTAGGAAAATACAGGAGATCTTAAAAACACATATTTTTAAACCATGGGGAATGTTTATTAGAGTACTGGATCTGAGGGAGTTTTTCTACCTGTGATGTTTACCAAATAAGTCCCCATGTCTAAAGTGCTATTAGCTCTACTAAGAAGAAAGTATGGGTATTTCTGTTATACCTATACTTTCTTACTTCAACAGATCAACTGCAGCTTCAGGGAAGGAGAATTTAGACTGGGAAAACTGTAAGGGAAAGGATGACAGATTTACTTCTCCTAAGCTGCTGCTCCAATAAAAATTTCCACTGTGACAATTTTACAGGTAAAAAAAATGAAGTCAAGAGAGCTGATCATAGATCTCCCACATCCAGCCCTTAACTACCTGTTGCATATGTAGTAGAATATGGACATGGATATTAGGTCTCTGTGTACCTTTCACCTCCTATAGCATGGGTCCTCAAACTACGGCCCAGGTGCTGGATCTGGCCCGCCATGCCCATTTGGACCCTCCACACCTGCGTGCCCATGCATGCGCCCACCTTGCCCCACACATGGGAGACAGCGGTTTGCTCACTCAAAGAAAATGATCTCCAAGCGAGCAAGCCGCTGCC